CCCTCTCGGCGCCTCCTGGTCGACCACCTCCATCAGGAACCTCGGGCTCGACATCGCCCCCAGGAGCACCGTCGCCCACCGGGAGCAGCATCTCCTGGCCCTCCTGGAGACTGCATGCCGCAAATGGACGCCCTTCACCCGCGGCCTCTCCCTCGTCGGGCGAGCAAGAGCGGCGAACACGCTGGTGGGCTCTGTCATCCAGCACCACCTGCATGGCTACCTTCCATCACCCCCGACCATCGCCAAGCTGCAGGCCCGACTGGCGAGGTTCGTCTGGGGACAGGACCACACGGCGTGGCTTCCCGCCGATGTCATGGCGAGGCCGGTCACCATCGGAGGCCTCGGCCTCCTCGACCTCGCGACCCAGCTCCAGCTCGCCTGCCTCAAGGGGGTGCAGGTCGCGCTCCGCGGGGGCAGAAATGCCTTCAGCTGGCTGGTCGGCGGCAATAGCGGTGAAGCCTGGATCCACCCTCCATCGGACGGCACCCGTCTCCAGCCCCGCCGTCTCCGGTTGCTGAAGCTGTGGGAGGAGGCCTCCAACATCCTGGGCTTCAACCACCGGGCGGTCCCCACAGCTCAGCTGCTGGACCTCCCCATCATCGGCGGCTGCCGGTTCATCCCGACCTCCTGGCCCCCGCCCGCTGGCGCGGAGCCCGAGTCCGGGACCTAATCGTGGAGGAACACCTCATCGCCCGCCCTAAGCGCTCGGCCCTGGCTGACGCCGCGGCCCTGGGCGCCTTCTGCCGGAGGCTGACCTCCGAGAACGCCGTGGGCTTCGGGGGGGAGTCTCCATCTTCATCATCTTCATTAGCTGCGGCTGTGGTGCTGCGCGGGACGGCCACGCCGTTCCTCAACGGCCTCACGACGCGCTCGGCCCGACGGGTCCTGGATCGTCCACGCCTCGCGGCCACGCCCATCTCCAGATTCATCGCGAGATGGACGACCACCATCGCACCACCATCCAGGATCGACTGGGCCTCGCTACGGCGCTGCGCCTTCTCGGGCCATGTGGCCGACGCGACCCTCAAGTTGGCCCTCCACGCCCTGTCCCATCCGGCCCATCCTGCCTCGGCCGCCCCTTGTGTCCTGCCTGCGTGTCCGTCGACCGCTCTCTCGGCCTCCGATACTGGAGCTGTCGTTCCATCAGGCCCCTCATCAGAGAGGCCTTCCACATCATCGGACGGCCCCCTGACCTGCAGGCTTGGATCTTCGGCGGGCACGGCCTTGAGGACGACGCCCTCTCCATCCTGGCGTCGGCATAGCTGCGCGTTTATCGCCACTTTGTACAGGTTGGGCTCGGGGGAGTGGTGGAGGACACGCTCACCGCCTGGTCCAGGACCCTCCAGCGCCGAGGATGCCTTCTTCCTTCATCCTCCATCATCACTTTGTAAAAAATTATGTATTATATTTTTCATTCCTGTTTATATTTCTCTTATTCTCTCTCGCTGAATTGTAAATTGTCTAAATGACAATAAATATTTTTCAATTGTCAATTGTCACACCATTATACCACTCACAACACACACCACTATACCACTCACAACACACACCACTATACCACTCACAACACACATCACTATACCACTCATAACACACACCACTAAACCATTCACAACACACACCACTATACCACTCACAACACACACCACTAAACCATTCACAACACACACCACTATACCACTCTCAACACACACCACTAAACCACTCTCAACACACACCAATAAACCATTCACAACACACACCACTAAACCACTCACAACGTGCACATAATTGATATCGTAGAGTTCTATTTTTATTTAAAATTTGGGGAAGCCATTTTACCTCTGGCGATCTGATCAACCCCTGACGTCATGAGTCCTGCCAAGACAACCAACAGTAGATATGCCTAAGACCAATCGCCAGCTCGGCTAAAAAAAATACCTATAGTCAAATCGTCATCGCTAAACCATGGCCTATGGTGGCATACCTATGGCCAGTTGTCGTGACAAGACAAGTTTTCACCAGGAGGTAGTCAGACCCGAGATTCATAGAGGCTTCCCCGGCGGGCGCTGGGCCGGCAATGGCAACAATTGGTCGTTTCTAGGAACTCTAAAGACTTTATATTTCTCTATCTATCGAAGGGTGAAGCAATCCGTGTCAGATACATTAATTATGAAGGGCTTATATTGGATCAAACTTATTTATTGATATCTTCCAGTATTTAGACGTGGCCGCCTCTAAGAGAGAAGTCTGCTATCCACTACAAACACTATTCTCTTGGAATTATATCACAGCTGACCACCTCGGATTATTGGAAGAATAAATATTTTGATCCAAGATATAGGCGCTTCCTAATTTATAGATAAGAAATATAAAATGGACAATTTTGTTGTAATGAAACATTATATTGAAAATAATTTTACATCTTGACCTATTAATATAATGTCAGTTAAGCAAGCTAAAACTGAAGAAATAAATTTGATTTATTATAGTCAACTTGAAAAAAATGTTAGTAAATTAAGAATAAAAAGTTTAATATAGAAAAGGGCAGAATGTATATAAATGATATATATATATATATATATATGATGATTTAAGACGATGGAATTATTGTAATATATTACCAAACATGTAATACCACATGTGTCACCACGTGAATGTACATAACTTGCTATTTACTGCAACTATGGAACATCAAATGACATCAATCTGTACCGCTTAAGACTGTAATAAAGTATAGCAACAGTACAGATAGAAGGAATGGAGAATTACAGGAGAAACTTAAGTATAAAACTAAGCAGGCCTAGCACAATTAGGAAACGAGGGGTTAAAAATCCAATTCCAAGTTTTACGAGGTCATGGCACTCTTGGCTGATGTGAGTTAGAAGCAGTCGTGGTTGTTGAGTGATGGGTTGTAAGGACACACAGGAGACAGGATCCAGAGGCAAAAACCCGTGAGTAAATAGATCGGGGAGGAAAGATAGAAGGTCCCAGAACAACCCCTAGAGCAACTGGCGTCGAGACCACCTCGGTGAGAACTGAAATTTGATTATCCCGTCTAGCCGCTTTTAAGCCGCTTTAAGTAAGATAAGTCCCCTAGGGGAGAATGAAGTCGTGATACTTGTTTACCAAGGGGGCTGTTTGTTAACCCAGCTATCTTCCCTCTTTCCTTGTACTCCCACACAGGCCATTTTATTTATATATTTCCGAATATTATGACATATACGTATATAAAAGTCAATGTATATATTTATGTTCGTCGGCATCTTGACAAACTTCCAAAAAGGTGTTTAGCTGACAGAGTGGCTAGGCCAAATCTATGGTTAAAATAGATATGAAAATTTTCCATTTTCCACACCTCTTTGGCACTTGTCAAGATTTCATTAGATCCCGTGTGGATCTCATGGAATAAAGTCCGCCCTAGGCTGACGAGGGCCATTAGCCCGAAACCATGGTCTCTAGGTAGACGTTTTTCAGTTTGCCAAAGCTGGTGTTGTGGCTTTGTCACCGACCCGAGGCCGCTAGTTTGAGGTGACGGTCAATAGATGGCGTCTGGTTTTGACGAGAGAGGCGACCTTTGTCTCTTTAGAAAAAACAACTTGTATATCATGGTTCGAATTAAAGTGAGACCTCACATTGCACACCAGACTTTGGCGAAGATTCCAGGGTATGGGTGGACTTGGTTTGCCTCACTCTGTGTACAGCCCTGACCTGGATCCCTTACGTGTTAAGACATTTGAAAGTGATGCAATTTTATTCCAAGCTGTTAGAGGGTGGTTCAGAGAGTTAAATAAGACGTTTTACCAAAGTGTTTCTACCTAACGGTACCAATGCTGAGTGATAGCAATGTTACAGAAGTACTGTTATATAAGTTCCTATATACATCGTTTCAGTTTTCTAGTTTGTCAATAAAATTTTTATTACCGATTGTGCATTATTTATTGACTTGTGTCAGCCAAGTCTTGCATTTACAAACTTTTTCTCGGTTAAGACTTAGAAGGGTCCATGAAGGCCCCCTCCCTGTATGGAAGGAGAACTCTCTCAAGACGGAGTAGCCTACATCGTTGAACACAAATGCAAATATGACTGTATATTTCCCGTATATTTCATTTACTTATTTATTCAATTAAATCATTGACTAAGTTTTACTAGAGGCATTTAACTTGTCAAAATTGTTCAAGTTCGTACATTAAATTACAAATTCTTACAGATCTTGTGTGGTGAGATTCGCGATAGTATGCTCTTACACTCTTTCCATATAATATATCAAAATTTATTACGGAGTTCTATTCTATGGTAATAGAAAAATATTATTTAAAAAAAAAATTGATTGTCTTTTATAGCTTGTTCATATTCAAATAGGGTTATTTGTTTCAATCGTTATTTCTGCATTTCTCTTCATATTCGTTCTAATAATGTTTGAGATGTTTTGTGTGGAATCTCAAGAATCATTGATATAAGTTGCTAAAAATCCTATCAATCTTTAATAATTATTAACAGGTAACGGTAAGTTTGGAGTTTTATTATATTATATGCCCTTCAATTAATATATATATATATATATATATATATATATATATATATATGTTATATATATTTTTTAATTGATTATTTATACCCACAGAGTATATGTGTAAGATTACAAGTAAATAGGCGCTAACCAAAAAAAGTTCCTCTTGTTTTAATATTAGTTTCCCTTTTATATTTTGTTTTCTCTCTTGTAAATCAATAAATATAATGTTTGATTAATATTGTTGGAATAATTCTGAATATAGAATTAAATTCTTGGAATCAGTTTCATTAAAAATTCTAAGCAAAGTCTACAAATTCTATAGCTTTGGAAATTATGTTGGTGGCTCTTGATTTCGAAGATTTTCAACGATATATTTAGATAACACTTGCGACTGAAAGGGAGGTCAAACTAAATTTCTTAATTGTGTAAATTTTGATCTTCTGTTTCCCTAAAATAAAAAAAGGAAAGTATAATAGAATAGAGGAGTGAATAATACACGAATATCTGTGCCGAAATAGCTCAGTTGGGAGAACGTTAAAATGAAGGTCCCTGGTTTGATCCCGGGTTTCGGCATCTTTTTTTTTTTGATTTGATGCATTAATAAATTTCCTACTTGTTATTAAATTTATATTTATGTAGGAATTGAGCAAGTATTTTATCTACATTTATTATAATAAGTTGTTGAAACATTTACATTTTTATTGGCAATGTGATTCTTTAAAATAACATCAAATATTTTCTCTACAAACCTTACTTCAATGATAAAAATTATTGAATGAGAGGGCTTTGCTCATTAGTGGTGAACCCTCTCAGCGGTTTCGCCAAAAGAAGAGAAAATATTTGATGCTATTGTAAAAAGAAACACATTCACACTGAATTTATTTGTTACAAATATTATCGATTGATGATAATTAAATTTATAAATTTATATTTTTATGGATAACATCATTTGTAAATTTGTGGAATAGTTATAAAATAGAAACCTGTAAATATAGTTAAGGATTTTCATGGTAATTAAGAAAAAAACTTCTCTCGCTGGCAGGCAGTCGCGTGAAAAGACATCGCGTGTTTTTCGTTCTAAACATTCTTTAAAAATAAACGAAGTATATTCAGCAGAAGAGGTTGTTTTTAATCTTAGCTTCGAGGCGTAAAGGGAAGTGACCCTACGCTCGTAACCCTACATCATTTGAAAGAGCCAATTTAAAAAATTTGTGGAATATTATAGAAAATGTAAGGATGGAATCCCCCCAAGCCCAATATGACACCTGTCTATTTCTCTTCGAACTTTCGAATGTAATATATATTCCCCAAAAATTTCAAAATCACTTTATTTGGTACCGCTCAACAAGAGCAACCTAGTTTATGATAATTGAAACAGTGAATAATATGTGAAGGTTATTCACATATTAAACAAAATGTTAATGCAGGATTAAATCCCTGTTCATGACTGTCGGGAATCGAGGGTGTTACCCACTCGTCCCGTTCCCCAAAAATAATCTATAATCTATCTTGCCATCTAAAATACAAAGTACAGAAATCGTTCTTGATTATCTTGAAAATATTTTTGTTGGTAAAAATAGTGACCATTTTATTATAATGAACTATGAAAATTCGAAACTATTTAATACGAGTATGATTCTTTTTAAAATAAAACTATTTCTACTGCTCTTACTGCAATGGAATAATTAATGGAAGGGCCTTGCTCATCAGTGGTGAAACCCAGCGATTTCGCCAGTTTAATATACCCTGGTATGATTAATCAATGGTAGATTAAACTGGCGAAACCGCTGGGAGGGTTCACCACTGATGGGTCAGGCCCTCCAATAATTTTTTTCCATTGCAGTAAGGGCAGTAGAAATGATTTTATTTTAAAAAGAATCATACGCGTATTAAATAGTTTCGAATTTTCATAACAGATGGCGCATTAATGCATCATAATGAAATATACTGAATTCATTTGTGTTTCATTTTGGTGCTTTATTTTTAACTATAATATTCCAAATAATTTGGCAAAAATCAGTTTTGCCTTTATTATTTTATGTGTAATTTTGAACACGGTCCTTTTAGAAACCTCTAGCTTTGGTATAGATTAGAGTCTATCAATGGTAGTCACAGATAATATCGGTGTATGTGTAAATTTAAAAGTCATTTTTTATTAAACGTTTTCTCTTTTGATCGTTGAAAATTGGTTAACATATTGTCATCTCAAATACCTAATACAGAAATTGTTATTGATTAACTTGAAAATATTTTATATGGATTTATATTAAATCCATTTGTGTTTCATTTTGGTGTTTTCATTTTTTACTCTAGAGCATTTATAATTCTGATTACATTCTATAAAAATGGCTCTTATAATTATAATGATTATTTTAAAGGTAAATTGAAAGATTATTTTTGAATGCTTTTTGTGGAATAATGGAGATCCACTTCGGGACGTTGGCCAGACGGATTGGGTGACATCAAACAAACATACCCGCCGCCAGCCGGCAACAAGGATCAGAGCAGGGCCTGGTCTGCTGACCAGTTTGGTGTTTTCCTCTGTCCTCTTAACATGTTTTAATAAAGTTAGTTTGAAGGAGCTTTTACCCTCTCCTTTCTGCTATTTAGTGATCTGATTTAAATCCTTGCAACAGCCTACAAAGAATCATCACCGCGAATTCTTCTACCGAATTTCGCATCAGTGTTTTGTGAAACGATTACCAGACTTTTCTTCACACTTTTTATTAGAATTTTCTTTGATTGTTACTATAGTTGATTATTATAGAAGGATTTATATATAAAGAGAAGGAAAATGGACTTTTTAATTGGACTAATTGGCATTCTTCTGGAATGTTTTATATTTGAAATAATTCCATGCCTAATTTCAAACCTTATTTTTATTTTTTATAATGTTTATCTGCTCTTCATGGCTATTTTGCCATTTGTTGAAGAAATCTGGCCAATTGGGATACATTGGACTTGTATCATCTTGTCCATTATGGACAGGTCTTTGTTTTTTATATGTTATTATTTGATTTGCACTGCGGAATGGTTCCCAAAATTATTTATATAATAATTATTTATTATTATAATTATGTGATTTTGTTTTTAGAAATATATTATCTATTCATTAAGAAGTCAATGTATATAAATGTATTATTTTTATTGTGTTGTGATTCAATGTTGTGTTCGTATATATGTTGTGTGATATTTAATTTATTATAAACAATTTGAAATGAAAATATTTGGAAAATATTCGTAAATCTGCGGCCCAACAAATTGCCCCATGTATTGTAGACTTCAAAATCTTGAAAATCATGGAAGGTTGAGTGATAATTCAAAATCTACTGGTTGCCTTCAGCGAGTCCCCCCCCCCCCCACCAAAAAAAAAAAATGTTGAAATGACTCGTGGTGGTTCTTCAACCATAGCTGAGATGCCAAGATTCTATGGATCTTTTCTAACGATATCACTGCGCGAACTGTGCTTTTTTTACCCCATGGTAGAAACTACCTCCAATGTCATAACATCATACTATGAATTCCTTTTAATGCTTCAACTATGTGTGAACTCTGCCTTCTTCAATCTTATTATTCTATCAAAATTCTTCAAGAACGTATCTTCAATTGTAACTATACATCTTCATCAAGTGGGGACTCTTGAAATGATTCCTCAGCAAAGACTCTGATTACCAATATGGACTAACGCTTCTTGGCCACGAATCTATAAAAATATACTTGCTTTGTAAGAATTGTTCTGCCCACCATCTTATCGATTCTTCTGAATGTTTCTACTGAAATAAATCTGTTCTCTTACCAAATTGATATACAATACCAAGATTTAATATTGTTACTTTTCTGGTACCTACCATTATGTTGCACTGTTCTTCACTTCAGTTACTCTATATTGGAGATTTCTTGGTATGGCCTTCTAATAATATCTCCTGGCACCGTCTTGCAGGATCATCCATCCACAAGTTCAGGTGGCAACTCGCTGCAGATGTCACACCAAACTAACGACACTGACCTATCGCTGTCGCGCCGTGGGGGCCATCCTCCCATAGCTGGAGTCCATCCATCTTTCCACAACTTCACCTTGGGATCTATGCCTCTTGATATCTTGTCATACAGTGAGAAGGAAATTATCCACATTACACTGCTCCCCTTCCATTATTCTTTTCCTCCCGAAAAGGACTGAGTTCACCAGCGGTGCTGATCGGCGGCCCTATGATCTCATCAATCGTTTTTACATGCGTGGCAATATATTGTACTTACATTGAATAGAGTGTTTAAAACCACAATTCACCATTATAATCATGGCTTGAACCATGTGTCTTTGAGAAATATATTAAAAACTACCACGATAAAACAATAAATATTTTGATGTTCCATTTATTCAATGAAATTGTGAAGTTAACAAAAATGACAAGGTCATTCGTAAGGTTAACAAACTATTAGTTGGCATTGAAACCATCCCAATTGCAAATACTATAAACAAGTTCCGCTTCAAATTTTGAAGCCCCTGTTCTTTGGTGTTAATGAATTTTTGCATGGGACGAAATCTCTTAATAAAGGCCTATGCATAAATGTATATATATATATAAAAAAAAACACGATAAGAAATATCAGGGGGTAGGATTAGAAGTCCAAGGGTTCCATTGTTAATTTACTGTATATTTCTCTTATTAGAGGATATTAGCTCCTATTGGAAGTACATAGTTGTGAGTGGTGGTTGCATAAATTTATAATCGCGTTTTCTAAAACCTGGTGAATTTCTGAAAATAAAATAAGAGAGAGAAGGTATCATAAAGATAGAGGCTGCCTGGCCTGCCCTTGTAAACCACAGAGCAATTTTTAACGCCTTGCCAAATGTTTTATTTCACTTACTTCTCCTGACGAAGACAAAACATTTTTGTCGAAACGTTGAGCAAATAAAAAACTCCAAAGCCGAAGTGTCTATTTTTCATATAAAGAGAGAAGGTAGTTCATTAAGTGCCCATGTTCGGAATGAAAACGCAATTTATTTTCAATATAAAATTATTTATTATCAACATGGTGCCTTTTTAGGGACACACACTTCTCTAACGTCCTTTTCACGTTTGTCCAATCCCTTCAAAAATCGGAAATGTCGAGGTTTTTAAAACACCCCGTGGTTTCTGTGTTGACTTCCTTATTTGAACCAAATTTCTAGCTATTTATTAATGTTTGAGAACAAGTAGAAATCACAGGGCTAGTTCAGGCGAATATGAAGGTGCGGAAGTATTTATAATGCTATTGATGTACCTTTGTCCGTGACAACTTTGAGTGTTTTGGTGCGGTGTCATGTTTAGAAAGCACTTTTTTCTTCGCCAATTGGGACTATGTCTTCTTCACTATCTTGCCTATCTGCCTAATAATAAATTTTAATATAGCCCAATTATAGAGGTTCTCTTTTAACTATGAAGTCTATGAGAATGATGCTCTTTGTATCTTACAACAATAGTTGCCGTATCTTTTCCTGCAGATGGAACCATCTTCGCTTTCTAAATTAATTTACCCCCCAAAAACCTTCATTGTTGATTGTGGTGTTTTCGGGGAATAATAATTATCCAGAT